CCTGACCCCCCCACACACAGCTGAGTAACCCTAGCCCCTACTAGAAGTATCCACAGATACTAAAGCCAAGATGACTATGACGTCACATTTATTGGTAGTAGCAGACGAGCCTCACTACACTGTATATACTGCATGTACTGCATGTACTGCATGTACTGCATGTACTGCGTGTACTGCGTGTACTGCGTGTACTGCGTGTACTGCATGTAGACATTTATATATGAATACACTCCATTTTGAACACAAAGTGCCTCAACTGATACATCTTTATAGACTTATTGCGATGAGAAGGAAGAAGAGGAGGAGGAGGAGGAGGAGGAGGAGGAGGAAGAGGAGGAGAAACACCACAGAAGAAAAGTGAGCGAGGTGAAGTCATGGTGCGCCCATGGACCAGCACCTTGTTGTCCCACACAGCGAGGACAGACAGGTGTGTGGACACGACCTTGGCTCTGATGTGTCTGTTATTTACAGGAGGAGGAAGTCTGTACAGGACAGAGTCTGGACGGAGGACGTGTCCAGTGTCCTCACCGTCTGAACCCGGGGACAGAAGAGGAGAAGGAGGAAAATACTCATCACAGTCCTGGCGGGGTCTGTCCCACGTCTCTGCTCGTCCAGCTCTGGACCAGGCCGCCATCAAACTGTGCTTTATACATGGGTCCTCGTCCTGACGGGTCTGGACCAGGGGGCGCTACAGCTCCCGATAGGCTCCTCCCACTCCGTTATGTCCTAATACTATTGTTTCAGATAAGAAATAAAACATGAAGACATCTGAAGACATCTGAAGACAAAAACGTCTGTCTCTGAGCAGCAGCTCTGTACAGGAAGTACACATCAGACACCAATACAAGTACGTGTGTATTCTACGTATGCTGCTGTGTGTGTGTGTGGGGGGGGTGTCTTCGTCCACATCAGAGCTTCACGTGGGGACATTCAATAATTTGGACAGAGGACAAAGACAAATGTTTGAACTGAGACGTCTTTTTTGACTTTGAGGAAGAAGGATCTAACTGTGAGCCTGTTGCTAGGCAACTCCAGCCTTGTCTCCCCCCCCCCACACCTGTAGCTGATTCAGGTCTGTCTCAGAGGGATGAGGGTGGAGACGAAATCACTGGAAACTTAGAACTAATTTAAATAAATAAACACAGTCACAGGAGGACGATCACTGCTGCTACATGTCTGTCGTTAGCTATGGAGCTAACCTTAGCTAGGGAGCTAACCTTAGCTACGGCGCTAACCTTAGCTAGGGAGCTAACCTTAGCTCCAGAGCTAACCTTAGCTAGCTCTGGAGCTAACAGCCTTTTTTTTCATATTAAATCCCAGCTTTGGTTTAATGACTGGTAACATTAACTGGTCCACAGTTCATATATAACACAGTGAGTACAAATGTATACACACACATATATATATATTTATATATACAGTATATAAAACATATGTGCTGTATGTGTCCAGTGTCCCCCGTCTTAGTGAATGTCCCCATTCTCAAGTGGACACACATCAAAAACCATAATCTAAGACACTGGTCGTGCACTGATGTCGTGGGGGATCGGGGGGGGGGGGGCCCCCCCCCCCCCCTCCATTCAGATATTTACCTTTGCACCAGGTGGCATCTCTTCCCTCAAAGCCATTAAGACAGAACGCTGCCCTCTGCTTGTGTAAAACCAGTAAAGACAACCTCTTTGCAGTTTTCTGTGAGTGAACAACCAAACAGACGAGAGCAGGGGCTGATGGGAAGGTTCCCTCTGGACAGTGTTGTTAAGACAAGGACAGAACAGGACAAAACACCAGACTCCTCCCCCATGAAAACCCCCGGCATAAATAATATGACCTTTGACCTTTAACACACACATACTTAATATCTACTGTTTATCGTATAAACC